ATTTTATCACTTTGCTCATGCAAAACATGAAAACCTTCTTGTAACATACGAAATAGTTCATTTATTTCACTCCGTATAGTATGATGATCATTTCTGAGTTTCATCATTTCATCTTTTAAAACAAAAATTCATTGGCAATGCCGGCCACCTCAACGTGGTGCCATGGTCCAGTACTTCGTATTTTTAGGGAAAGCCAAAAGCCAGCGACGTTTTTCTTTTGGAAGACTTGTTAGCGCTTAGGCTACGGCGTTGTACAGCACCGGGACCAACCGCATCGTGGTGAGGCAGAATTTATCCAAGAAGGTCCTGGGGAACGTGTCGACGTGCTATCAGCAGTATCGCCCGCACCAGGTTGCTGCTGAGTGGTGATGTGGAGGAAAATCCCGGCCCTTCACTGCGTGGAATGCAGTGGAACTCAGCTGGGCTTACCCAGTACAAGAGGCTTGCTCTCCACAAAAACCCTTGTTGAGGAGAATGTGACATTCTGCCTTCTAAGCGAGAAGAAACTTTCTTGTGCGGAAGTGTCGAGTTTCACAATCGCTGGTTACCAACATCATGGAGTGTCCCGCCCCTCTAAAGGAGGCGGCGTTTCGATTCTTGTGCGTGAAGATCTGCCAGTAGAAGTAGGACTCACCGTAGTTGCAAGCATTGAGCATGCTCATGCAACGATCCACATGTCAGAAGGTCTGGCGCTCACAGTGACGTCAGCATATTCTTCCCTCCGGGGAGATCAGACACAACCTCGCAACTAGAGACACTTTTGACGACAAGCGGACCCCACCTCATTGGTGCAGATGCTAATGCGCATGCAATGGCATGGGATCGCGCGATCCCCACTGATACCCGTGGCGATGTGCTAGTACAATGGTGCTTAGATAATGGCTACGTTATATTCACAACACTGGAGATTGCACCTCGCCCACACCACACGCCATGGCCCGTCCGCGTCAGATGTGACAATATCCCGAGAATGCCTTCTAGAGTCATGGACGGCATCCTTCTCCCCGGAAAGTGACCATTACATCATCCTCTTCGAAGTAGCAGTAGGAGATGATGACGAACCACTGCGGTTCCCTCGCCCTCGTACACCCATTTATGCATGGAAGAAAGCGAAATGGTCTCGCTTTAGATATATGTCAAACGCACAGTGCGACAAACGCCTTAAAGAGAAACAGAGCGTTCACAAGAGAGAACGACTACTGACCTCCGCCATCCAAATCGCAACAGCTGCGGCGGTTCCACGCGGGGATCGAGATACTACTCCTTATTGGATCCCAGAATTAGAAGAAATCGAAGAAAAGATTCACAATTGTAAACCTTATGTCTCCCGAGACAGACTGGTAGTTCGCAGAAGGGAATTGCCAAGACAAGCATCTCATAAGAGATGGAAAACCCTCTGTAATAACATGTCCGTGGAAGACGGCTGCTGTTGGAACATTTTGAAAAGGATTTACGCCCCATGCCCCCTCAGGAACCCGGCGATAAAGATTAAGAATACGGCACTCACATAAAATCAGAAAGCTAAGCACTTTATCCGCTTATGTTCACGACGAGCTAAACGTCACCCACATTCCTACCCTCCACCGCCCATTCCATTCACCGATAAAGAATCCATCCCCATTACAGCAGCAGAATAGGAACGGGCACAGCGTATCCTTCCTTAGGGACGGCCGCAGGTCCAGATGGTATCTGCAGTGTGGCACTCCAACACTTGGGACCCCGTGCCAAAGCAGAGACTCTTGCCCTCTTCAACAAGAGCCTCCGTACGGGTATAGTTCCAGTCTCTTGGAAAGTAGACATCATTGTACCACTCCCTAAACCCAGAAAGAAAGCCACAGATCTAGATTCGTTCAGACCAGTTACTCTCACTAGCCGTCTGTCCAAATTAATGGAACGGATCATTACAGCGTGCATTAGAGATGTCATTGAAACCAAGCTGACCCCGCAACAATCTGGATTTAGACCTGGTCACTCGACGTTAGATCAACTATTGCACCCACGCACAGCCCTCACAAGACCCACCCTTGATTCGCGTACAGGTGCAGCATTCGCAGACCACACCAAACGAATACTTAAGGGAGGGGATACGCCACCTCCCTCCCATAGATTAAAAATCACTGGATCCTGGGACCCCACCAAAGACAATCCGGAACTTACTAGAGAAGAAGAAACAGCCTTAGTATGTTTTCGCACAGGTGCTTCGCATCGCTATGGCTGGTTGCTGCGAAAAATACAAACCCATATTCCTCCTCTGGTTGTCGCTGGCGTAACCCCCAACGGGGTAGCTTGCCAAACCCCGTTACTCCAGCCGGCCAAAAAACCGCGCTATGCACTAAACAAAGCAACAGACCCTGCCACCTGCACTGAATGTGGGAAACAATACCCATGCAGGAACACCGCAGTAGTACATATGGTCAACAAACATGGGCTCAAGAGAGCCGGCGCGCTCTGGAAGATCAAATTCCCCCATGAGCCACCTCCGCCGGACATCCCGCCAGAACCTCCGCCACCCCCACAACCCCCACCTCCGGACACAACGTTACCCCGTCCCACTTCGCCCTAAAGCAAAACCCCATCCGTTTGCCTGCAGTATGTGTAAACGAACATTTCCGCTTCAAAATGGATTAACGCGCCACCTCAGGTACATGCACAATGCCACATGCCATGTCCCAGGGAGAAAACGCCCGCGAGCCGACGAACCGATACCAGAGGAATCAGCATTTCCCTGTGACAAATGTGATATGATAGCGCGATCTAAAACAGGTCTCAAAGCCCATATTAGAGCAAAACATCCTGAGAACCCCACGAAGGACGCACCTCGCCCTCAGCTCATCCCACAGCCTGCTCCCCTACGATGCGAATGTTGTCTACGCGACTTTGGCAACATTGGTGGTCTCACCTGCCACAAAAAGTTCAAACATCCTCCTGGAACTCCAATTCTGCCAGCAACAATGCAGGTAACGTTTCCGCGAAATAATAAACGCCAACGAGATACGTCGCCACCGGAGCGTGAGGACAGAGAAAAAGTACAATGCGGAGTCTGCCAGAAGTTCTACGCCCACCTAGACTCCCTCGTAATCCACTGCAGAAAATTCCATGATGGACAAGGAATGCCACAAAAATCGAATTCCACCAATGGGCAATACAAAACAACAAAAACAAGAGACCTTCCAGCGTTAGTCTGTCCCCTCATGCGGTCGTCAATGTGTATGAGCAAATCAGTCCTAACTCTACACCGTATGTCACGTCACGGGTATCAACCTGCTCGCGCACACCAGCCAACGCGACGAATGCGAAGAAATAGCTCCGCATCTCTTGCGTTGCCCCACCCTTCATCCACTGCGAGTTCAATTTGCGATCGTTGATGATGTACCCCTGATGAAACTATGTTTTTCTAAGCGGTTAGGACAGTTCCTTATTGCGGTGGAGCGGAACTACGCTATGCCACAGACTTCACAACCTGGAATCCCTACACAGCCTACCTCCCCACCTCTGTAAAATCAGTGACGAGATCGAATATGGAAACCTTGATAGAAGAATACGCTCAAGGCGTCTGTCACTTTCCAAAAACAAGCAACAAAATAAATAGGAGTTCATTGAGGCCAATCTATCACAAACGCAAAAATAATAACAAAAAGGGGACTTGAGGACGGTTTCTGGGTAAGAAAAGTGAGAGTAGAGAGATCTGGTAGGGTTTACTCAATCTGATTTCTCTTAGACTGGTTCTCTCGTATGGGAACGGGCTACAACAAAAAATCATATTACAAGAGCTTGGGGATCCCATAAAACGAAGGGATCTTCTTCTTCCGAGCCACCCCTAAGTCGGCAATTAGGTGCTCTACGGTGTACGGCTGATAGCCGTACCATTGGAGTAATATCCATAAAGCCACGAAGAACAAAAAGAAAAACGTGGTGGTGTGCTGTGGGGGGTCCTTTTTGGGATGTAAGGAGATATGTTTGATCGTACCTTCCTAATACACACCATGGAGTAAAGGTTGGGTGAGTTCGGGTGTGTTTGGATGTTTTTTTTTTTTGCTGATAATGTTGTGGGAGAAGAAGAGGTGAACCAGCATTCTGAGGGAAAAATAAAATAATAGTAATAAGGATAAATAAAGAGGTAAAATGTGTGTGAGAGTAATTGTGTGTTGATTCTGTTTGTAAAGAGTGGCATGGTATTACAGTGATGTATGCAGTCATTTTTGTTATGGTTGTGGGTGAGTGGGTTTTAGATACCAATTGTGGTGTTGGTAATAAATATTATGGTGATGCATTGGTTTCTTTCTTTTCTTTTTCCGTTTGGAAGTGTGTTGATTATTGTACAGTCTCTTTGTTTTGCTGATGATTGGTGGTAATGTTTTTGTTTGTTGCCAGGCGCACACTGTGTTTTTGGTGTATTTTGGTGTTCAAACTGCCTGGTAATGGTTTTATTATAATGAGAATACACACACTTTGTGTGTATGAATGCCGAGTAAGATATTGGAGTGTGTGTAGAGACGTTTATTTAATATTGTTTTGATACCATTTGTTTTCCGCTTCTTCTAAATTCAAGGTGTTGTTTCAATATCTGTGTAACTCTGGGTGTGTTTTATTGTGTGGGTGGTTTACTGTTGTTCCCCTCATTGGGTTGTGTTTGATTGCTGTTGTGATGTGTATCCTTTCACACTCTCTTTCTCTCTCTCTTTCTGTAATGTTGTCTGCTGTCTGCCTTCTGTGTTAAATGTGCGTCTACGTTTCTTCTTTTCCTCTTCTTCCTCGTTACCACAGATCCAAGTAACTCACAGTGACAATAACGACAACGATGTTCGTCCAACTGCGCCGTGTGGTGTACCTGTTGGTACTTTTGCAATGTTGTGTATGTGTGGCTAGTGCGACCGGTGGGATGGCGGAATGTCCAAATGGTCATAAGAAGGACCTCGAATATGCGGAGCGAATAATGAATCTGTCGTGGTTTGGTCCGGAGAATGGGGAGGTGAAAACACCGAAGGAAATGCTTGCGAATGGAAGTGCATGTTTGGACTTGTGGAAGAAAGAGGCGAACGAATGCAATGACAATTTTGCGGTTATGGAAACCGCCCTAAATGCCACCACCAAAATTGTTCAGATTATCAATGAGTCATTCAAAGGAAAACCGCCGCAAGAGACGGCGCTTTGCCAATCGGAGGATGTTAGGGAATTTGAGAATAAATTCAAAAAAATGGAGTCCGACTATAACGAGGCAGTGGGGAAGGTGGATGAGCTGCTTGAAAGTGTGAGCAAAACAGAGAGGGAGTGTTTCACTTACGTCGGTAACCTTCGTGATCCGGCGAACCAACTAAAGGATGCACTCGCGATGTACAAGGTCATGCTTTTGGATCCAGAGTTCAGCCAATGCGATTTGGAGAAAAGGAATGATACCCTTGAAAACTACACGATAAGGTCCCAGGAAATGGAGAGGGTCTTGGGTGAACTTTCTAATCTGACTGGGAGAACTCACGCGTGTGGGCTACAATCCATTGGGGGTGTGAGGTTACTGTTGGTGGAAAAGTATAAGAAGTTCCGTGAGTTTTGTCCCAAGAGTGCTCTTGTGGAGAAGGATCCGGGTTTTAAGAATGTGGATAAAGAAGTAAATAAAACAAGAAAAGTACATGAAAAAAAAAGGGTGCCTGAGGTTCCGGGTCCCGAGAAACCTCAGGAGGTGGGGAAACGGTGGGTGGAACGGCAGAAGAACATCAGTGCCTTCAAAGAAAAGTTCGACCCTTTGCAGCAAGAGCACATTAAAAAAGTGGAACAGGTGGAGAATAAAGTAAAGGCGGATGCAGAGGCTAGAAAAGAAAGGAGGGCACGGGAAAAACAGGAGGCGGAGGAGAGGGCAAAAAGGGCTGAGGAGGAAAGAAAAAGAAAAGAGGAGGAGTTAAAAAGAGCTGCGGAAGAAGAAAAGAAAAGGAAGGCTGAGGAAGAGGAAAAGGCAAAGCTGGTGGCGGCACAGAAGGCCAAGGAAGAAGAGGCGAAACGGGTAGCAGAAAAGTTGAGACAAGAGGCGGCACAAAGAGCCAAGGAAGAAGCAGAAAGGACGAAGAAGGACAAGAAAAAGAAGGATGGAGCTGTCACTCCCTCATTGGTGCACAGTCCCTTGATTCTTCTTGTGCTATCTGTATTGGGCTGCACTCTCGTATGCTAATCGGTGTTCCCATGACATGGCTGCACAGTTAACCTTTATTTGACTGGATATGGGCGCATTGTAGGAGACTGTTCTATTTAATGAATTTTACTGTCTCTTTTTTCTCCCACCATGGTAAATCTCTTATTTGTATTTTTTTACCAAACAAATCTATTGGGTTCCCTGTGGCACTCATCACATAACAGACCATGATTTTGTAAGGGGAGTCTTCACTTTCCATGTTGGTATTATTATCTGAGCTATGCTTCGCCGTCATTTACTGTGTCCTCATGGTGATGTGTGTGTATGTTCCGTGATATTACTAACTATTGCTTTTGCCCATGGGAATGGGAAACAATCCCAATGTGTTTTAATTGCTGTGACTGAAATGTGAAGAATGGCAGGAGGTTCAAGACACACAAACACACACACTACCAACCCTCCTTCTCTTTGTGTGTGTGTGTGGACTGTCATCATGTGTGCATCATTCCCACTGCTCGCCCTGTACGAAAGACACACACACCTACTGCACGGAATTGTGTTCTTGCCTCCTGAAGATATTCACATGGTGATCACGGCTCTATCTTTTTGTTTTGTTTTGTTTTTATAATTTTGTTTTTCCCTTGTGTGTTTTTTTTTTCATTATAATTTCATTGCACGTTATGTGCAGCTGTGTGTTTCTCTTTTGCGTTTCTGATACACCTCGTGTGTCTTGTGTGTTCATTTTTATGGAATGATTCTTTTTTTCTTTATATACAAACTGCTGCAGGGACATCAAGAATAACGATATGGGTACAGCACGTTCAGTACACAAAGATTTTCCATTGTTCACCTTGGGGTGGATTGGGCTGTATCCAGGCATCGCAGCCACAGTAACACATGAATTTCTTTTTTCTTTTGACATCTTTGCTCTATTATTGTGTCTGCCTCACGCAGTCACTCTTTTTTACATTTTTATTTTGGTATAAAGATTGATGGGTTGTAGGTGTTTGAGTGTACCCCTCTGTTGTGTGATCCTTTGTGTGTTTGGGTTGCTACTTGCACCGCCCACGCAATGAAAACACATTTCTTTGTTCTCACCTTCTCTCTCGGTGTTGTCACTCACGGCATTGCCACGAACATATTTCTGCTCTTGTGGTGTGTGTTGCTTGAGTGGCTGCAACCTGCGGGGAGATGGACTGGGACCATTCCGCTTCGGCTTCACGTAATGGGTCTGTTTTTTTTACTTTTTGGGGTTGAGTTGATGTGCTGGTGTGGGTGAATGTTTTTCTCTGATGAGAGTGTCAGCTGTGATTATTGTATTGTGAGTGCTTTGTGTGCTGTTGGTATCCTGTTCTTGTTGTTGTTCATTTCTTGTGTTTTTCTTTTCCTCTCTGTAGGTGTGTGGCTCCGTGTACATTTTAGTGAATGCTGTAGTACCTCTCTGACATGAGCATGTGAGACTGTCATTGTGTGTGTGGGTGGGAAAGACACTTTGTGTTGCTGGACCACTCCACTGCGGCCTCTGTGGGGTTTGTGTGAGCGGCATGCTTCGCTTCGGCGGGGCTCGAGGGGCACTTTACGTCCCGAGGCGCTGAACCTTGGGGCCTGAAATATCATGCTCAGGGACTTTGAACTTGAGAGAAAAGGAAGAGTGAGGATGAGGAAAAAAAAGGATGAAACCCGGCAACCAGTCTACGCGCGCAATGCTCGAGGCTCGTTGTCGGGTTTTGCCCTTTTCTTTTTTTTTATCCATCACCCCAAGAAGGGAGAGGAGAATACAACCCAAGGCGGGCGGCCAACTTGTCACAGCGTCTTGTGCGCAACAAGAAAAAGAGGGGTGGGGTGGCTCCCGGGGGTGTTTCACTTATAAAATGGGTGGGATTGGGCATAGTGGAAAACTCTTGCTTTCCCCGCTTCAACGCTGGGTAAGATGGGTTTGAAAGGTATTCCGCACTATTCCCAAAGATGACCCTTCCCCGTTCCCCTCATGACATGGTGCCGCGTGCCACAGAGCAAAAAAAGGTGCTGTTGGATGGCCCACGCCATGAACGAAAAAAAAAACAAAGGGAAAAGGGATTCACCACACCCTCATGATAAAGACAAATTCCGCTATGGTGATGTGTTAAGGCGTTCCCCTACCGCCATGTGTGCTGTGAAAAGGAGATCCATGGGAAATGCAGAAAAGGAAAAGCAAGATAATAAGAACATTTCGCCCCATAAGAACATTTCGCCTCATAGGTGTTTTTGGTTTGTTGGCACCCCACCGCCTGCCCCACCACTACAATGTGTGAAGTATGTTTGGCTTCCCTGGGAGATGGAAGTGGACAAGCTGGGCGCCGCAATAAGACAGGCGCCGTTGCCAAAGGCGAGCCGTGGTTGGCATCAGAGGTCCGCGGCACCTACCCCAAGATGTTGGCAAAAAAAAAAACATTGAAGAGGGTACGGCAACCCGGGTTCCAGCGCCATCACTGATCGCCGTACCAACGAGGCCTGTGGCCGCTTAACTTCACAAATCGGACGGGATATGGTGCATTCGGCCAAGTATGGTCGTACCCGAAATACCCGCAAAAGAACATATTATGCTCCCGGGGGGGGTCTCCGGGGTGCCCTTCCCAGCCCCACCCCCCAGGGGTGAATTTTCAGTTTTGCGAGTGCCGTGCGTTGCCCGCCCATGTGCTCTACTGGGCCTCTTTGCGGTGGTATTGGGGCACGTTTTCGCACACAAGCTAACCCTTGTAGGTGTTGGGTTGTTCCGGTGTTTTGGGTTGTGCCGGCCTGGTGGCGTCGCCGCCGCCGTCTGTCACAACTTTGGCCGGCTGGTGGCGCCGGGGTGGGGTGGCAGTTTTCTGGTCGAAGCAGGCGGCCTCTACAATAGTTGCGCCTCTGCTATTTTGGTGTTCTACTAGTTGTTATTCTTCTTTTGGTCGTTCGTAGCCTCTGTGTCGTTGTGCTGCTCCGCCTTGGTGGGGTTAGGCGGTGTCCCGGGCCGTCTCGGACTTGTCCGTGTGGCGGGGTCGGACCCCCACCCCTGTATTTTTCTGGGGTGCCAGGCGCGCCATCTGGTTTTTGCCGTCGTGATTTGTGTTTTCTACATGTACTGGTGGTGGTTGCGCTTTTCTTTGCGGTACCGCGTTGCGCTCTGGCTGCGGGCCTCTGCCTCCCATGGGGTGGTGCGTTTCCTTTCTTATTGGGTGGTAATGCTGTGGGGGGGAGGGGGCGAACCGGCATTGTGAGGAAAAAATAAAATAATAGTAATAAGGATAAATAAAGAGGTAATACGTGTGTGAGAATAATTGTGTGTTGCCTCTGTTTGTGAAGATTGACATGGTTCAGTAGAAAAAATAAATTAAAAACAAATGATAATTGACAGCGTTGCGTGAAATCTCAATATACAAAGTTTAATATAAACAAACAAAAAAAACAAAAACAAAGCATCTCACCTGGATTTTATACACATATACAGGCTACATGGTTGGGTTTGTTTACATGTAATTCAAATCAATTCTCTTTTTCTTATACATCATATCTCTCCTCACTTAACTTGATATTTGTAAGGAAAGGTTATTTTCGAAATCTCTTTCAGTAAACACCTCTGCTACCCATGAGGGGTGAATGGGGGAAAGAGGGATTTGCCACCAGTGTAGAATACAAAAATTAATTAAAAAATCACGAGAGTCTGGTTAGCGGACATATATTTCTTTCCTTTCTACTTTCTCCACAAATAACAACAACATAAATGGGAGAAGTTACCCGAGTGAAGTATAAAATTAAAGTTGTTTTTTTTTCATAAGTATGGAGTACCAAAAATAATACCCAAAAGGTACCAAGACAAAGAAAAGAGCTGCTCCTGTTATTAGTGGTGGTGGTGCAAAATGATCAGAGCATTTTTTTTTCTTCTATTTGGGAAACCGTTTATGCTTATTATGCGTATATACAGTTGAGATATCACTCTTACATGCGTTTTTTCGGAAGGTGTGCTACATCAAAGTGTGCACTACTAGGGTCCGCACAGGGATCTCGCAACTCTTTAAAATTCTTTTGCCGTCTCTCTTCCTCCAGTCGCAGTTGTTCTCCCAGTCTCTGTTGCTGTCGCGATGTGCTTTTCATGTTACTTACCATGATGTCCAACATGCGGTGAATATC